AGTAACCGAGTTGGAAGGGACCTTTGGAGGCCATCTAGTCCAACCCCTCCCCTGCGAACCAGAGACACAAGCCAGAAGGAGAGATCGTAGAATAACCAAGTTGGAAGGGACCTTGGAGGTCATCTAGTCCAACCCCTCCCCTGCGAACCAGAGACACAAGCCAGAAGGAGAGATCATAGAATAACTAAGTTGGAAGGGACCTGGGAGGTCATCTAGTCCAAACCCCTCCGAGAACCAAACACACAAGCCAGAAGGAGAGAGAATCATAGAATAACCGAGTTGGAACGGACCTTTGGAGAGGTCATCTAGTCCAACCCCCCCTCAACTCGAGCAGGACGGCCACCACCCACCCACCCCTGCTGGGAAGAGAGAAGGGAAACACCCCTCCCCCCAATTCACCCTCCCTGCTTTCATCCCTCCGCGTGGCCTTCTTTAAGGAGGAAGGGGGCTTGAGGCCCGTGCAGGAGGGGAGAAGGGGAGGGGGGGGTGCCACCCAGTCCTGGCCCCATCCGGCAGGCGAAACAGCTGGGGCAAAGGGCAGCCCCTCCCTCATCACCCAGGCTGCCCCACCCAGAAGGCACACAGGGGGGCCGAGCTGGGAGGGCAGTGGGCGATTCCATTGGACGGCTGAGCCCCGCCAGGCCCCGGGGGAGGGGGGGGATTCCCCACTGGGGGGTCCCCCTCCCCAAATTCCAGCGCTCCTCCTTTTCATGCCCTACTCAGAACTCTCTCCCCCTCCCCCCACAACCCAACCTCAGCTGAAGCCCCTCAGAACAGCCCCTGGGGCGAACGCAGAGCAGGGGCCCAACCTGGAGGGGGGGGGGAAAGGAGGGAGGCCGCCCTACGATTTGGGGGGTGGGGGTGGATCTCCATGGAGCCCCCCCTCCCCCCCCCCAGGAAGGACAATAACAGCTCAGCCTCCAGTTGGGCTCCAACTTGCCGGGCACAGTTTGCATTCCTCCCCTGAAGTCTCCTCGGGCCCAGGCAGAGCGGGAGGCTGGAGGTGTCTTCCCTTGGGCAGCACAGCCCCCGGCCCCCCTCTGCACCCTGAATTTGGAAGTCAGTCCCCTCCTCCCTGCCCCAAAGAGTGGGGAAGCTGGAGACGACCCTCTTGGGGTGCGCCTGGACACCCCTTCCAGATGGGAGGAGGGGAGGGGGGGGAGGAGGAGAGGAGGAAGAGGA